TGAAGATGTCTACTCCCAGTGTGTGGGAATTCCCACACACTGGGAGTAGACATCTTCAGTGGACCTAATCTGAGTTTACTTGTATGCTGTTACGGAGCTCATTCAACATTTGTTGCGGGCTTATCTTATGGTGGTTCTTTTGGTGGGTAGCTCTGCAATGACTGTAATGTAAAATATTGAGATCTAGTGCGCTAAGAAATCTCATGAATCTAGAAATATAAAGGAACATAAGCTTGTTTTCAGCCTAGTCAAGACAGCCAGTAAAACTTGCATAACATAGGGATAAATTATTATGACATGGGGCTTGTTGCTTTGAATTTAAGCAAACTCGGGGTTTGGCAAGCTTGAAAAGAAAGAATAGGGGGAAGAAGTATAGGGGGACGAATAAGAATAAAAGAAGAATGGGGGAAAAAGAATAAGAATAAAAGAATAAAGGGGAAGAAGTTTGAGGAGTATGAATCATAGTCATTGTAAGGGATTGAATCAATATTTGTTTTCTCTTTTTGGATTATTGTTGAACTGGCATTGTTAAATTGTAGAGAACTTCTGTAGGATATGATTAGTAATATTTATTTATACTGGTAATTTTGTCTAAAATACAACAGTGTATGTTTCACCCACATGTCTTGGGGGGGTGTTGTGCATTTGTATTTTAAAAATCATTACAATTATTTTGCATATTTTGGTTTTGGTTTATAATTTTTCCTTTTGTGGAAGTTGATCAGAAATATTTCAGTCTTATACATTTATAAATATCCTGACATTTGGGTGAAATCCTCCTTTTTAAAATCTAATTCTATAAAAGTTATTTTGTTAATTGCTTGAATGCTACCTGTATTATTTCAATATATTACTTTTAGAGCTTGCAACATGCCTTTCTATTAAGACTAATTTCCAGTATTATTTCAGATGGCCTTGCTTACCTTCGGTATCCCTTTGGGTGCCTCAGAATCTGTTTCAGAGTGTTGGGGAACAATTCGATGGATGCAGAGGGAATCTAGTGAGAAGGATTATCTGATGTTGGAAACTTGTTGTGAACTACTGCTTGCCACTCTTCCCTTTCAGATAGCTGATAACACTTTATTCCATTACTGTATGGCTGCAAGGAGTAGTAAAAACTCCTGAAATCATTTCAGTTTTATAAGGGTTTATGATTATATTATATAGCCTCTTTTCTAAAAGGCCAGTAAAGGAACCAGAAATTAACTCTTTTTATAACCATAAATGGTGGTTTATTGGACTGTAAAAAGAAATTAAAATATTTTTTGAAAATAAATAAAGGTACTGACATGAGAATGGTTTGAGAACCTATCAAAGCCTTTATTAGGGGTTACCTGATACAATATAATTCTGAACTTAAAAAGAAGAAAAAATACAAAATATTTTGGAAGAGAATAAAAGAAAAGAATTAAAGAATTCCTCACGGAATACAAATACAGTGCATTCGGAAAGTATTCAGACCCCCTTCACTTTTTTCAATTTTGTTATGTTGCAGCCTGATATTACAATCGTTCAAATTCATTTTTTTCTCATTAATCTACACTTAGTACCTCATAATGACAAAGTGAAAACAGAATTTTAGAAATGTCTATAAATTTGTTAAAAAGAAAAAACTGAAATATCACATGTACTTAAGTATTCAGACCCTTTATTCAGTACTTTGTTGAAGCACCTTTGGCAGCAATTATAGCCTCGAGTCTTTTTCAGTATGACATGACAAGCTTTGCACACCTGGATTGTGGGATTTTCTGCCATTCTTCTTTGCAAATCCTCTCAAGCTCAGTCAGGTTGATTTTCTGCCATTCTTCTTTGCAAATCCTCTCAAGCTCAGTCAGGTTGATTTTCTGCCATTCTTCTTTGCAAATCCTCTCAAGCTCAGTCAGGTTGGATGGGGACCATCAGTGGAGAGCCATTTTCAGGTCTCTCCAGAGATGTTCAATAGGATTCAAGTCAGGGCTCTGGCTGGGCCACTCTAGGACATTCACAGAGTTGTCCCTAAGCCATTCCTGTGTTGTCTTGGCTGTGTGCTTAAGATCGTTGTTATGTTGGAAGGTGAACCTTTGGTCCAGTCTGAGGTCCTGAGCACTGTGGAACAGGTTTTCACTGAGGATATCTCTGTCCTTTGCTCCATTCAGCTTTCCCTCAACCCTGACCAGTCTCCCAGTCCCTGCTGCTGAAAAACACGCCACAGCATGATGCTGCCACCACCATGCTTCACTGTTGGGATGGTATTGGGCAGGTAATAAGCAGTGCGTGGCTTAGAATCGAGGCCAAACAGTTCAGTCTTGGTTTCATCAGACCAGAGAATCTTGTTCCTCACAGTCTGAGAGTCCTTCAGGTGCTTTTTTGCAAACTTCAAGCAGGCTTTCATGTGTTTTGCACTGAGGAGAGGCTTCAGTCTAACCACTCTGCCATAAAGCCAGATCAGTGGAGGGCTGAAGTGATGGTTGTCCTTCTGGAACTTTGTCCCATCTCCACACAGGATCTCTGCAGCTCAGTAAGAATGACCATCGGGTTCTTGGTCACCTCTCTTACTATGGCTCTTCTCCCCCAACTGCTCAGTTTGGCCGGGCGACCAGCTCTTGGAAGAGTCCTGA